GCTGGGTGTTGTGGCAGGCACCTATAGTTCCAGCTTCTTGGGAGGCTGAGGCAAGAGAATCGCTTGAGTCCAAGAGTTTGAGGTTGCTGTGAGCTATGACACCAAGGCACACTACTGAGGGTGACTCTGCCTCAAAGTGAGACTCTGTCTCAAAACAAACAAACAAACAAGCATTTAGCAATTATCCTTACATTTTAAAATATGTATAATTCTTTTAAAAAGTCTAAAGTTAATCCTTGTGATTCTATTTTTCTCCTTATCTGCTAGTTCACTAGGTGTATACAGGTTCAGGGTAGTTATATCTTTTTTGGCATTTTGTAAAAATCATTAAATAGCCTCTTTAGTTATATTTTCTTTAAAATTTAATTTTCATATACTATATACATATTACATATAAATACATATACACACACTATATATTGATACAGCTTATTTTGATTTATATTTGTCTGGAATATCTTTTTCTGTCCCTTTATTTTCAAGCTTTCTGTGTCATGTATTAGGTGTGTTTCCTTTAAAGAACAGATTTCTGAACTTTTTAAAAAATCAATCTTAGAATCCTTTTGATACTTGAAAGATCTACCCTCTGCATGTCTTCCTTCCTTTTCTTCCTCACTTCATCCCTCTTTCCCTCTCTTCCTTTCTTTGGTTAATTTTTTTTTTTAAAAAAAACAGCTTTTTACTCTATTGCCCAGGCTGAAGTGTAGTGGCATGATTATAGCTCACTGTGATTTCAAACTTCCAGCTCAAGTATCTTCCTGTCTCAGTCTTCTGACTAGATCAGACTACGGGTGCACACCACCATACCTGGCTATTTTTTCCTATTTTTTGTAGAGATGGGACTTCACTATGTTGCTGAGGCTGGTCTTGAATTCCTGGCCTTAAGTGATTCTCCTGCCTCAGCTTCCATGTGCCTGTGCCTACAGGTGTCTGCCACCATGCATGGCTAAGTTTTATATTTTTTGTAGAGACCAGGTATCACTATCTTGTCCAGGCTGGTTTCAAACTTCTAGGCTCAAGTAATCCTGCTTTGGCATCCCCGAGTGCTAGGATTACAGGAGTGAGATGCTGCACGTAGCCTAGCAAGGTTTAATCAATTTTTAGAAAGCATGTCAGTACTGAATTTTTCATCTCCAGAAATGCCATTGATTTTCAAATTAGGTTGTTTTCCTTCATTCTGTATGGTCTTTTTCTCCATTATGGTCTCTATTCCTTTAAATAAAACCACTTTAATAATATAAAATATTTTTTACAGGCTTTTAAAGATTGTTTTGTTATATCAAATTATTATGATACTCCTCCTGTTTATTTTATCTACTATCTTTTTTTTCAGACTAGATTGCTTCCTTATATACCTAGTAATTTTTGTGAACCCATCTCTAAAAGAGATTAAAACTTTTTTTTATTTTTGAGACTGAGTCTCACTTTGTCACCCTCAGTAGAGTGAGCATCCTTAGCTCACAGCAACCTCAAACTTTTGGGCACAGTAATTTTCTTGCCTCAGCCTCCCCAGTAGCTGGGACTATAGGTGCCCGCCATAAATGTCCGGCTGTTTTTTAGAGATGGGGTCTTGCCATGGCTCAGGCTGGTCTTGAATTCCTGAGCTTAGGCAATCCACCTGCTTCATTATAGGTGTGAGCAATCGTGCCTGGCCAAAATAAATAAATAAATTAAATAAAAATAAATTAAAATCTTTTTGGTATAAGCTATGTGAACCTTAAGATTCGGACATTTTTGTGTTTATGTCTGAGAACTCCCAAGGTAGCACTGGTCTAAAGTCTGTACTTAGGGTAATTTCTCAACTTGGAGATTTCATCCAATGTAAAATGATAAATTCAGATCCATTCCATCCATTCTAAAATGTTGAGTTTTAAATTTCTCATAGAATACTTTTCCATTCAGAGCTTTGGGCAGGGCAAGCTTGGGCTTAAGTTTTTTTACTTCTCTTTTCAGTGAGAGAGGAACCCTTCCAGAGTCTAGTTTTTGCAGAAGTTTCTATTCTGAACTCCTTAGCTGCAGGGGTTCATGTCTCTTGACCCTGAATGGGCAGCATCTATACCCCACTTCTAGCTATCAGGGCCTAGAACTATTGGACCTACATATCATCCCTCCCTGGCCACTCCCAGGGTCATTTTATGAACTTGTCATTCTGGCTTTAGGTTCTCTCTTGCTTCCTGAAACTCGGGGTTTTCCTTTCTTTTGAATATTTTTGAAAGTTTGTCATTTTATTTCCTCCAGAATCTTTATATAGTCATAGCGAGTCTGTGTGTGGGTTGAAGTAGTGCTCATGTAACTCAGTTACTTTTTTTTTTGGCAGTTTTGGCCGGGGCCGGGCTTGAACTTGCCACCCCTGGTATATGGGGCCGGCGCCCTACTCCTTGAGCCACAGGTGCCACCTATTACTTTCATTCTTAAAGTTGAAAGTTCCATTTCTTGTTTCTAATTAGCGTTTATAAATGTATAGTCTATTAGATTAGATGCACTAAAAATATGAAAGATTAGCTGTACTATGCTATGTAGTGTATTAAATCTAATATACTATATATTTAAACATGTATAACATAATTATATATTTTAAGACATTTATAACATGTTTGAAATAATATATACAGATGTAGTACATATAGATATAGTAGGCATAGATGTACAGATAATATATATGTTTACATGTGCTATAACAATTATGTAGTATATTAGATATATTAATAAATATGTAATATGTTAGATGGCAATAAGTGTTACAGAAAAAAATCAGAGAAGAGAATAGGGTATTGGAGGTTGTGTTTTAGTTTAAATATATATATATTTTAGGCTACATATGTATATCTACATAGAGAGAGAGAGAGAGAGAGACAGAGAGAAAGAAAGTGTTTAAAGATGAGGTCTTGCTATGTTACCCAGGCTGAAGTGCAGTGGCTGTACTATAGCCTCTAACTCTTGGGCTCAGCAGGTCTTGCCTTAGCCTCCCGAGTAGCTGGGACTACAGGAGGACTACCATGCCTGGCTGTTAAGTATATATTTTAAAAGTAACTTTTGAGGTGACAATTCACATTACATAACATTAGCCATTTAAAGTGAATGACTGAGTAGCATTTAGTATAATAACTATGTGAGAAGTGTGATTTTTCTTTTTTTGATACAGAATCTCCCTCTGTCACTTGGACTAGAGTGCAGTGGCATCATCATAACTCACTACAATCTTAAACTCCTAGGCTCAACTTCAAACTCTCGGCCTCCCAGAGTGCTAGGATTACAGGCATGATCCTACGAGAAAGATTTAGATTTTCACTCTGAATGATATGAAAAGCCATTGAGGGTGTTGAGTTAATTTTAACAAGGCCACTTTGGCTGCTGTATTGAAATAGATTAAAGGAGACAAAATTCAAAAGAAGGGAATCATTTAGAAATCTGTTAACTCTATCTCTGCTGAGATTATTAGAGACAATCTAGCTTATAATGTGCTCTCAATAAATAATTTGTATTATAGTTTTCTTTCTTCCAAAAAATATCATGTCATCTGTGGGCCAGGCCCTGTTTTAGGTGATGGGGATACCTCAGTAAAAGAAATAAAGTCCTGGCTGGGCACAGTGAGTGGTTCATATCTGTAATCTTAGGCTGAAGTGAGAGGAGGATCCCTCAAGCTCAGAAGTTTGAGACTAGCCTGAACAAGAGGAAGACCCCATGTCTACTAAAAATAGAAAAATTAGCCAGGAACTGTAGTTTATAGTAGCTGTAGTTCCAGCTACTTGGGAGGCCGAGGCACGAGGATCACTTGAGCCCAGGAGTTTGAGGTTGCTGTAAGCTAGGCTGACAACATAATACTCTATCCTGGAGAACAGGGTGAGACTCTGTCAAAAAAAAAAAAAAAAAAAAAAAAAAAAGAAAGAAAAAGAAAAAGAAATAAAATCTTTCATACATGAACCTTATATTGTAGCTAGAGACTGACAATAAACAGATAAGCCTTATGGGGGAATTTGATGCTGGGACATAAATTTAAAGGGGATAAATGTCCTTTTCATCTTGTAATTGATATTTGCTTGTGGGTATAACTTCATTTGGAGAGATAAAGACAAAGACTGAATTCAAGGTCATTTGTGACAGTGATACCCTGCTTAAACCCTATGTTTGGAGGGACCTTCTAGGGATTTTAAAATGAAGTGAACAATACATGGACCTCTGAACCCAGAGATGCTCCACTGGGTGGGCTGGCCTCCAGTTAAAGCTCTATCCTGTTCCTCAGGCTGGAAGGCCTATGACAAACCTGCCATAACTTGGGCACACTTGCCTAAGACCTTTAAACTCATGACGACAAGAGTATGTCTTGGAGGGGGATAGATTAGAAGCAACAGAGCTTGAAGTAGGGCCAGAGGTGCTACTGGGACAGAGTGGGGTTCTAGTCAAGGCCAGAGTGGCCTTTCCATAACAGCATTGCTCCATCAGGCTGTGGACTTGTCCTTTCATCCCATGGTATCTGTCCAGCCACAGTCTAGAGGTGACTGGGGGAGTCCATAGCGCAGCTCTGGAGAGCAGTCAGGCATAGGATCTGGGGGCATTCTGTTGTGACTTTTATATTCCTCACACCCAGTCCCAAACCTAGGGTTCTATTTTTTAGTAAGTTTAAATATTTATTGAAATTAAATAAAATATTAACACGTTGACTTAAATTTTAAAACATGGCTACAGAATCTGGTTTGAAATACTGTATAATGACTAAAAATATCTGTAAAAAGCATGTTATTAGTTCTGTTAAATTAGTACTTAAAAATCTCGAGTATTTAAATTAGCTAATGTGACAACCTACATCTCACCTGTGTTTTCCAGTCTCTTTTATGGAAAAAATAGTTCTCAAAGAAATTCAAAGGCTCCTTTTTCCTTAACATTTCTAATTTCTGTAAGTCTTTGAATGGCTTTCCCATCACCACCCCATCCATATTAGGAAACAATGGGAAGATGGGTATTTTTGAATATGGGCTATCTGAATAGGGACTCCATCCTAAAAAGATAAAAATAAAAATGATATCACAAGCAGGGTCGGAAGAAATTCACATAAAAGACAAACATGTGCTGTCTGGTTTTTTTTTTTTTTTGTCAATTCTCCTCAGTGGCCATGCCCCCTCCCCTTCACTTTCCTGTGCCCACCTCCCACCCATCCACAGACTCCATGCTTCATCCAGGCATCTGAATATTCAGGTAAGATATATATTTGCTTTCAAATGGTACCTGTGTGACAGAGACTGATCACTCAGAATAGGCTGTGGTCCTGCTCTTAGAGCACGTGGCCTCTAGTACTGCACATGGACCAGAACTAGTCTGTGGCCTGTTAGGAAATGGGCCACATAGCATTTAGAGCTGCTCCCCATCACTTGCATCACTGCTTAGACTCTGTGTCCTGTCAGAGCTGCACCCCCACCCCAGTCTGTGGAAAAATTGTCTTCCATGAAACCAGTCCCTGGTGCTCTGCTCTAGTACTTATTTCTGACTGGACATATACATATAAATCCTTCACAACAGTGGAGAGAGAACAAGTGGCTCTTACTCTTGAGCTCTTCAAGAAATTTAAATAAGTCCTTTTCTTTCATTATTGCAACTCGGGCAGCATTAGCAAAGGCAGCTGTGCTTGAGCTTGCATGTGTATATACTTCTGGTTTAAGTCTCTTTTTTCCATAACCCATCGCATAGGGATTCCACAATCCTTCTGCGCCAGAATGCTGGAATCTTCTTCGGAAATAGCTTTAAAAAAATAGGAATTCAGAGATGGATTAACAGATCTATAGGCCAAAAATAAAATGTCAAGTTGTAAGTTATGTATGCTTAATAAACTTCTTTAAAATCCAATTTGCATATTCAAATATTAAATAATAAAATATTTATAAAATATTAAATAATATTTGAGTGTCTATTTCTGTGACATTTATTGAATATCTATCTGGTGATATTTTCCACGGGCCAGTTGACCATTTTGTATCTGTAGTCCTTGGCTTTTAGTTTCCTTTGTCTTCTCCCAAAACTCCCAGTCTTTTCTAGAAAAAAGTTATGGATAGTGATCCTTGACAAACGCTTAAGTGGTACTAGCTTGAATACAAAAATTAATCATACTTATTATTATTCCTACTTCGTGCTAGGTTTTATTTATTTATTTACTGAGACAGAGTCTCAAGCTGTTGACCTTAGTAGAGTACCATGGTGTCATAGCTCACAGTGACTTCTAACTTGGGCTCAAGTGATCCTCTTGCCTCAATTTTTCTATTTTTAGTAGAGACAGGGTTTTGCTCAGGCTGGTCTGGAATGCGTGAACTCAAGCAATTCACCTGCCTCAGCCTCCCAGAGTGCTAGGATTATAGGTGTGAGCCACCGTGCCTGGCCTGTGCAACATTTTTTAATTAAAAATTTTTCATTGCAAAGAACTTGGAAAGTATAGAAAAGTATAAAGAAGAAAATACTACTAGTAATCTTCCTATTCAGAGTAAATCACTATATATTTTTTCGTTTTTAAGAGATAGGATCTTGTTCTGTCCCTGAATCTGGAGTGCAGTGGCACACTCACAGCTCACTCTGTAACCTGGAACTCCTGGACTCAAGCAGCCCTCCTGCCTCAGCTTCCCAAGTAGCTAGAACTACAGGTGTGTACCACTGCATCCAGCTATTTTTTTTTATGTTTTATAGAGATGGGGTCTTGCTATATTGCCCAGGCTGGTCTTAAAGTCCTGACCTCAAGTGATCTCCAACTTCAGCCTCCCAAAGTGCTGGAGGTTTACAGGTATGAAACATGTTTCCCAGACATAAATCACTATTGATTGTGTTTCTTTCCAATTCTTGGGGGGGGGGGGCTGTACAGATTTAGGAGATATGTTACCAGGCATTGTAGGTTATAAATTCTTTCAGGATAAGTGCAACAGGCTATCTCTGACAAGAAACTCTAAATCAAAGTATAAACATCTGATTTCCAAACATGCATGCCTCAAATATCAACAACTCTAATTTCAACAGTGTAAGATGCTGTAGGGTAGGGGAAGGAGAGGCATGTAGGAATGAGCTTGACCTAGAGCTGGGAGGCAGAGAAGGCCTCTCAGAGGGAGTGACCAGTGACTGGGATCTAAAAGATAAACAGGAGTCAGCTAAGCTTAGACAAGTGTAGTGTGTTTTACAAAAAGATATATCCAAGTCCTAAACTTTGAACCTGTATATGTGGTCTTATTTGGAAAGTCTTAGCAGATATAATTGAATTAAGGATGTCAAGGTGAGATTCCTGGATTTAGAGTGGGTCCTAAATCTAACAACAGGTATTCTATAAGGCAAAGGAAAGGGAGAATTGAGACACACAAGAAAGAATTATTAAATGGAGGTAGAAATAGGAATTGTGTTGCCACAAGCCAAGGCATGCCAGGAGTCATCAGAACCCGAATGAGCAAGGAAGTGTTCTCCCTTAGGATCTTAAGAAGGAATGTGGCCCTGCTGACACAGATTTCAGACCTCTGGTCTCCAGAACTGTGAGAGAATAATTTTTATTAGTTTAAGCTACCAAGTTTGTGTTAATTTTTTATGGTAGGCCTAGGAAACTGATTTGAGAAAGGAGAAAATGTTTTAAATAAATACCAGGTGAAGGATCATGGAGTATTTTAGTATCTGCACCATATTTAGTTTTGGATGTAAAAACAGAAGTTACAGGAGGGGTGACTGGAGAGCTAAGCAAAGGATTATCATGAAGCTACCTTGAAATGTCATGTTAAGTTGGAACTTTTTCAGAGGTGACATGAGAGGACATTGTAGGCTTTTTAGCAGGTAAGTGATATGATTAGATTTGTGCTTGGCACTGTAGGCACTCCATAAATATTTTCTAACTAAATGTTATTATTATTTTTGGGATCCACAATTTTATTTTTGCTATAATAAAATAGGAAATAATGGTACATCAGGGACAAATCCCGATTAAAGTCCATGATGACCATGCCTTTACGACTCATCAAAAATTTGGGGATAATTATTGTCATCTATCTGTCAAGTACCAAGCGGTGGGTGTGAATCATAGAAAGGTTAATGTGATTTTTGAAAGGAATCACTCCAACCAGACCACAGGCCCTGGATCTAGGTGTATTGATCCACCTGAATCCTTTTGCTGGTGACACTGTGTGTCTTCTGTGGCACTTTTTACTAAAAGACTACTGGGATAGAATGATAACTTTCTAGATATTTTGTACATTGAAAAGGAGCTTTTTCTTAAGTCACTATAATTTATTTATTTATTTAATTATTTATGTATTTAAGATTGAGTCTCAGTGTGTCCCCTAGGTAGAGTACTGTGGCATCATAGCTCACAGGAACCTCAAACGTCTGGGCTCAATTGATTTCCTTGTGATGGTTCCTGAGTAGCTGGGTCTACAGGTGCCTGCCACAACACCCAGCTAGTTTTTCTATTTTCAGTAGAGACAGGGACCTTTTGCTCAGGCTGGTCAGGAGCTCCTGAGTTCAGGCAATTCACCAGTTTCGGCCTCCCAGAGTACTAGAGTTACAGATGTGAGCCTCTGTGCCTCACCTGTCATGATAATTTTAAATAAGGTTTGAGCTTTGTTTTGGTTTTCAAAACTCCATATTTTTGCTAGCACATCATTGTATACACTAGCTTATCATACAATAGGGGCCTATAAATCTGTCTTTCTGTCTCTCTAACCCCCATCAAACCTACAAATAATGTTTTGTGAAGTAGGTCAACTCTGCCACACATTCTTTTTTTTTTTTTTTAGAGACAGAGTCTCACTTCAGGGCCCTCAGTAGAGTGCCATGGCGTCACACAGCTCACAGCAACCCCCAACTCCTGGGCTTAGGTGATTCTCTTGCCTCAGCCTCCCAAGTAGCTGGGACTACAGGCGCCCGCCACAACGCCCGGCTGTTTTTGGTTGCAGTTTGGCCGGGGCCGGGTTTGAACCCATCACCCTCGGTATATGGGGCCGGCACCGTACCCACTGAGCCACAGGTGCCGCCCTGCCACACATTCTTAAGGGCTTGGGGGGGCTATTGAGGATTAATATAACAAAGACTATCAAAATATAGTCTTGCTTTGTGGTAGCAAGCACATAAGTTAAGTGAGTCAGTGATAGCACATAAGAAAGGCTATGATATCCCTGAAGACAATCTTGGAACATAATTCTAACTAAATGTTATATTCAGTTAGCATTTGGCTGCGGTATGGAAAATGGATAGAGATGGCAAGGATAGAGGCAGAGAGACAGGGTTGAGTACTACAGGAAGTGTAGGAAGACAGTGACTCACACTAAGGTAGTTTCTACTGTGATCAAGAGAAATGTATGACTTTCATGTTTAGGAAGGAAAATAGATAGGATTTAATGATTGGTTGCATGTGGTGAGTGAGAGAGCAGCAACTGAGGATATACTGGTCCTTTGGCACAGGCAGGGGTGAACACACTAAGATGATAAAGCCTCCCTGAGATATGGTACCCAAGTGGAAGAACTCGTAGAACTGAGTGTGGAGCAAAAGGTGAATTAATTTCAACATTTTGGATTTGAGGTGCCTGTGGGGCTTCCATATAGAGATGCCTAGTAGGCAGCTGGGAACTCTAGAGGGCAGTGGCTGGAGATACAGTGTGACCTTCTCTGTGTCTCATTCTCCTTTCCTGTCTATAAAGGAGGTGTTGGAACCTCCCTCACAGGTTTGATCTGGGGATCAAATGAGGTCTTTGAACAAATAATTATGAGTGCCTCATGTATACCAAGCATTTTTCTAGACTTTGGGGATATAGCAGTGAACAAAACAGACAAAAAATAATCCCTGTTCTCCTGGAGCTTATCTTCTAGCTTGAGAAAACAGATAAATCAAATAAATAAGTTATATAGTATATTAAAAGGTGATAAATACTATGAAGAAAAACAAAGCAGAAAAGGGGAAACAGGAATGGTAGGAGGGTTGCAGTTTTAAATAGGGTGGTCAGGGAAGGGTTTACGGAGATGACATTTGAACAAAGACCTGAGGGTGGGTGAGAGTGAGTAGAGTGAGTCATGGGATATCCAGGGGAATAGTATTCCAGATAGAGGGGAAAGCAAATGCACAGGCTTTGCACATCTAGTGTATGTGAGGAATAGATAGGAGTCCAGGATGGCTAGAACAGAGTAACAGGAGATGAAATTGGGGGTCAAAGGGAGTGCAGATTACACAGAGGGCCCATAAATCATCATAAAGACTTCAGCTTTTACTTGGAGAGAAATGGAAGGGTTTCGAATGTTGTGAGCAGAGGAGTGACATGATCTATAATTTTTTTTATGCTGCAATCTTGTTATTTTTATTTATTTATTATTATAATTAAGTCATGAACACATAGATCCTGTATACATTAATGCACTTATGGGGTACAATGTGCTGATTAAGGGTCATTTAGTGCTGTAGGAGTCAAAGAGTCAGCTAGGCACAAGGAATGTTGAGAGCAGACAGGGCCACAGGCAGGGCATGGGAAGAAAAGTGAAAAGAGGCAAGCACGGGAAAAACAGATGTATGTAAAGGGCTTGCTCAGAGCTTTGCACTTTGTAAATGTTCAATAAATGGCATCAACAATATGAATACCTATCAAATCCAACTATTAACTAGCTCAAGAACTGCTTTCTCGGGAAACCAAATTATCTTTGCCACTTATTTGACAATTATATAACATATTTTGTATTATTTTACTTCTATATATTTACACATCCACATACTTATGGCTTTCCTCTTCATTTATATTTCAAGCTCCTCAAATGCAAATACTATGTGTTAAACAGTTTTAATTTCCTTACGTACCAGGCAATAGCAAGATGACCAGATGCATAACCAGATAAATACTAAACACTACTCTTGGGGGGGCCAGACACAATTATAAGAGAGACTTTACCTAACAAATGTAGCCAGTGCAATCTGGTTTTTTGTACCCTCAATGAATCCCCAACAATTTAAAAAAAAAATAAAATAAATAAATAAAGATCAACATCAGCTAACGTCACCTGAGCATGTACTTACTCAGTGTGAGAGGCAGGACTGGGAGGTGGATAAGAGCATGGGTTCTTGGATCAGACTGTGCTTGCTCTTTGCCAAGTTTTTTTTTTTTTTTTGAGACAGAGTTTCAATATGCTGCCTTCAGTAGAGTGCCATGGCATCATAGCCCAGAGCAACCTCAAACTCCTGGGCTTAAGTGATTCTCTTGCCTCAGCCTCCCAAGTAGCTGGGACTACAGGTGCCCACCACAATGCCAGGCTACCTTTTGTTGCAGTTGTCATCGTTGTTTAGCTGGCCTGGGCTGGGCTTCAACCCACCAGCCTCAGGGTATGTGGCTGGCGCCATAACCACTGTGCTATAGGCACCGAGCCTTTTCTTTTTTTTTTTTTTTGAGATACAGTCTTACTTTGTCATCCTTGGTAGAGTGTCATGGCATCATAGCTCACAGGAACCTCAAACTCTTAGGCTCAAGTGATTGACTCTCTTGCCTCAGCCTCCTGAGTAGCTGGGACTACAGGTGCCCACCACAATGCCCAGCTAGCTATTCTATTTTTAGTAGAGAAGGTCTGATTCTTTTCAGGCTGGTCTCGAACTCCTGAGCTCAGGTAATATGCCCACCTCGGCCTCCCAGTGTGCTAGGATTACAGGTATGAGCCACTGTGCCTGGCCTTTGGCAAGTTACTTAACTGATCTGTGCTTCAATTTTTTTATCTGTCAATGAGAGATAATAGTAGTATCTACTCATTAGGGAAGTGAGTTTTAAATTAGGTAATATGAGTGTTCTATGCTTATTCTAGTTGCTTCCACATAATAATAACTAAATTTATGGAGATCTGAAATGTGTTAAGCACTTCACGTGCATTACTAACAACTCATCCCCACAACTGTCCTAAAGGATGGGTATTATGATTATTATCATCCCCATTTTATAGATTCATAGGTAAGAAATGTGCCAAATTTGTGTACCAACAGCCAGGATTTAATAAATGTCTTTGAATTGGAATGAAAAGTAGAATTTTGTGTGCCTTCTGTTCCACATTTGACAGAGATAAAATAGTATAAGGATACTGCCTACTGAGGGGTAGAAGAATATTTTCACACTGTTGGGGATATTCTGTACTTTTAAGTCTCTCTTAGGGGGACCATAATGCTTTGAAGGAGTATGAGTTGAAAGATTGATAAAGGCAAAATTTATTTACTTTCTATAATTAATATATTAAAAATAAATTAAGGAAAGTTTATTTTTAGTATTATTTGCTGGAATAAATAAACAATTTTGGGCATGAGAATGTTTCCTCATCCTTTATTCTGAGTCTGAGTCTGACTCTGCTGTACTTTAAAGGCTACTCTGGGCTCGGCGCCTGTGGCTCAATCGGCTAAGGCGCCAGCCACATACACCTAAGGTGGCGGGTTCGAATCCCCAGCCCGGGCCCGCCAAACAACAATGATGGCTGCAACCAAAAAATGGCCAGGCGTTGTGGCGGGCGCCTGTGGTCCCAGCTACTTGGGAGGCTGAGGCAGGAGACTCGCTTGAGCCCAGAAGTTGGAGGTTGCTGTGAGTGTGATGCCATGGCACTCTACCCAGGGGGACAGCTTGAGGCTCTGTCTCAAAAAAAAAAAAAAAAAAAAGGCTACTCTGGTCTGAACTTGCTGTACCTCATCTCAGAGTCAGAGGCCTTCTTGAGAGCCTCTGGTAGTTTCAGCAACAGGAGTGTTTTGTATTCCAAACTGGATTGCTAAGTCTACCCAAAATCATCCTTAGAAAAGTTTTATTCTGCCGGGATTTTCTGGCCTGAGATATGAGAAGCTGACATTTCTTGCCTGTCTTAGGCCCTCGATGGAGCCCCTAGATGGTCTGAGGTTAGCCTTGCAATTTCAGAGTGAGGCAGGACTGTAGTGATAAAGGAACAGGATCTTATATTAACATAAGCATTTGTCCAGTATCTTTTCCTTTGTTTTCGACCAGACCCTCTGGAGTTGGATGTTAATGAGAGATGTCTGCCATGTTACTGTTCTCCTCATAAGTACTTCTGGGAAAGCTGTTTTTGTCCCTTTCCTTCCCACTTACCTTACTATTTCCTTTATAGCCCTTTTGGGTAGGGCTGAAGTCTCTATAAGCTTTGATAGGATTTCAAATAATAGGAATCCTGGGTTGCCAGCTAAATTTAAAGAGGTCTCCTTTTCTGGAGCTATGGAGGGAAAAGAAAAGATTTTAAAATGCCTTCTGAACAAACCATCTATCATAAAGTAATAAAATGACAGTCTTTTTATTGATTATTTATAATAATAACATTAAGTCAGGCAGTGAAGAGGCATGGAAAGAGAGGCAGTGAAACATTAAAAATCTGTTCTATTTGGTGAAAAGGCTATTTTGATTGCTCAACAGACAGAATAATCATAGAATATAAGAATACTTTTAGTTTGGCTTCTAAGTAAGTCTAATAATACTTTTAACATAAATATGAATTATATGTTAAATGCTATTATCTTGTTCTTCTAGGCAAAGATTCTAGCCAAATCCCCATTACTATAGTAGTACTTGCAAGCAGTAACTTCTCTTTATCCTAAGGGTATATTTCAGATCTTAAGAATGTGTGTATTTTCAAAACTGTACACAGTACTTGGATTTGGAATGTATTTATCCTAGAAAACATGATATGAGTAGTGTTTAGACTTTCCAAGGGAGGCTGCTAACCTCATACACGAGTGATGTAAATACCACTAACAGTATTTTGAGTGCACTTACATACCATGTGCAGCCTTGGGTGAGAACATGCTCTCTAACCTCCAGCAGACTCTCCTGCATTGAGGGTAGAGGCTTCTTCAGTGTGAGGAAGGTATTTTTTCAAGAATCATAAATTACCAACACCTCAAATTTGCATGAGTGAGAACATTTTTCTTTTTCTGAAAAATTTTTTTTTCCTGGCTTGGCACCTGTGGCTCAAGTGGCTAAGGCGCCAGCCACATACACCTAAGGTGGTGGGTTTGAATCTAACCCAGGCCCGCCAAAACAACAATGCCGGCTGCAACCAAAAAATAGCTGGGCGTTGTGGCAGGCACCTGTGGTACCAGCTACTTGGGAGGCTGAGGCAGGAGACTTGCTTGAGCCCAGGAGTTGGAGGTTGCTGTGAGCTGT